TTGCCCCTCTGCCTCCCCTGAAGCACAGGTAGGGACTTTCTCTGAAGTTTCCAGAAGAAATGCAATCTCATCGGAGAAGATTAACTCCCAGGAAGGAACACTAGAGTTGACACCGCACCAACTCCGTTAAAGATCCTGAAACTTTTCTGCAATTTAGCAGTGTGCCCAGACTTGCTGGTTTAAGATTGAGAATGAAATATGGATTATAACACATGGTAAAGATCAGCCTTCCCAATATGGCTTTTGTTATATATAGACATTTATATAAATCAACTTCTTACATATTTTAAGTTCAGCCTAAAGATTTCTCTGTACATGGTGAGCTATAACCTAAATGGAAATGTAAACAGACTGTGTAACCTACTGTTGTGCAAATCATGGAGTTTTGGCTCATCGAAGGGCACTCAGATGAACCTTACCCCAGGCTGCAACTGCCCCCACAGGGTTGACAAGAATTGCATGCCAGATTCTGGACAGAAATATGGTGACAATTAAGCGTTAATAAGGCTGCACTTTGTCTCATTTCCTTGTGGCTAAAAGTCACATAGCAGTAGATACAGACCATTTATATTCTCATTGTTCGTACAGACAGGATCTCTGACATTCACATCACAGGGCTTTTGTTTAAGGATCATTAAGATGTTTTTCAGACCCTGAATTCCAGCAACCAGTTTGAAGACCCCCCACAGAGGAATGGGATCAGCATGAGAACACAGCTTCTTCATGTCTCTGTCCAATAGCTTCACCCTGCACTCTTCAACCAATTAATGATCTCCACACTTCTGCCCACTCCAAGACCCTTAAAACCCCTAGCCCCAAACTCCTCGGGGAGATGGATTTGAGGTTTCCTCCCATCTCCTTGTTTTGTGACACTATGATCAAACCTCTTTCTCTGTTGCAACTTGGTGTCTTGGCTAACTGACTTGCATTGGGTGATGAACCTGTTACAGTTACAAGGCTATTGTCTGTTCTTCAGGCCCCTTCATTTCCCCTAAAAATCATTTACTCTTCCTCTAAAAGTACCATCATTCCCTACTTCTCTCTCCTCTATGAAGAGGATATTTAGGCTCCAAGCATCCGCCCCTTCTCTGAGTTTCATACTTTGTGTGACTCTCTGCATGCTTCCACATCAATCTGTTGGCATGCCTTTTCTCCTGTTAATCACTTTGTTTTGTAGACTCAAATTATCAAAACTTCCAGAGGTGGAAAGAAAGTTCCTTTTATCCCTACAGCATTCAAAACACTATTTGAAAGAGGCTAGACTATGTTTTTCCTTTTCCTCGTCTTATAAAGAAAATTTGAAAACATTAGTTATTCACATTGTGAGCTTCCATTTTCTTTGTGATTCTAAAATACAACTTTTAAAGGAATTTTGTAAATAGGTCTTCACCTGTCGGGTCACTGCCTTAGATAATTTATGTTGGCTTGAAAGAGAAGAAAACATCTCCTTGATTTTCCTGGGAACCATCTGAGTGATACTTTTTTTTTTTTTTTTGGCTGAGTCTCGCTCTGTCACCCAGGCTGGAATGCAGTGGTACAATCTTGGCTCACTGCAACCTCTGCCTCCCGGGTTCAAGCAATTTTCATGCCTCAGTCTCCTGAGTAGCTGGGACTATAGGCATGTGCCACCAGGCCTGGCTAATTTTTATATTTTTAGTAGAGACGGGTTTTCACCATGTGACCCAGGCTGGTTTTGAACTCCTGACCTCAAGTAATCCACCCACCTTGGCCTCCCAAAATGCTGGGATTACACACGTAAGCCACCACACCTGGCCCCATCTGAGTTATACTTTTAAGGTGAATTTTTATACCACCTTCATGATTTTATCTGTATAAATAGTTCATATATTAAAAGACAATATATTGTTATGCTTCTAACAGTATATAAATCAACTCTTTACGTATTTTAAGTTCAACCTAAAGATTTCTCTGTACGCAGTGAACCATAACCTAAATGGAGATGTAAACAAACTGTAACCTACTCCTGTGCCAATCACACAGTTTTGGCTGATCAAAGGGGGGCAATTGTTCAAACCGTGTTCAAATAAGGCAAATGCCAAGCTGCAACCAATACAGCTGTTTCTGTTCCTCACTTTAGTTTTCTGGACATCACTTTCCTTTTACTTTCTGTAAATCTTCCTTCCTGTAGCTTCACTGGAGTCTTTCTGAGCCTACTCTGGCTCAGGAGGCTGCTTGATTCGTGAATTGTTCTTTGCTTAGTTACTCTGTTAAATTTAATTTGGCTAAGGTTTATCTTTTCTTTCTTTTTTTGAGATAGGGTCTTCCTCTCTCTCCCAGGCTGGAGTGCAGTGGCTCAGTCTGAGCTCACTGTAGCCTCTGCCTCCCAGGCACGGTCATCCTCCTACCTCAGCCTCTTGAGGAGCTGGGGCTACAGGCTTGTGCTATCATGCCTGGCTAATTTTTGTGTTTTTTATAGAGACAGGGTTTTGTTATGTATTCCAGGCTGATCTCAAACTCCTGGGTTCAAGTGATCTACCTGCCTTGGCCTACCAAAGTGCTTGGATTACAGGCGTGAGTCACTGTGCACAGTGAGATTTTTCTTTTAACATATTTTTGTTTTTATTACAAGTAGATTGATCAGGTTATTCTCCTGCTGTCTGAGTGACTTGGTGTTTCAGATCTATTAAGTCCCAAATTCATGAAATCTTCCTAATTTAACCATAGGCTGAAATTAAAACTAGGAGATTATGAATTTCCTTAGTCTAGGCAAATCTACATAAGTAAACATGCAATGTTTTTTAAAAAACAAATAAAGTGTAAGTTATTTACTAATAATTGATAACTCTCTAAAAGGATTCATTAAGATTTGTCCAGATAGAAAACTCTCATGTGCATTTTAAACTATGTTTAGGAGACAATATCGTCTTGAGAAAATTTTCTAAAGTACTTTGTCTTTGTTTAAAGTAAGGTGTACTGATGGGTAAGAGGAAGGACAATTTGGTGGGATGAAATCAGACAACGAGGAGGAGAGTAGCAGTCATTGGAATAATAAGATAAATGTATCCTGGGTCTCTATGGCAACCAGGGACACCAGCTGATTTTCCACCTCAGCTCCTTGTAGAACAGCCTACCTGTGCCAAGTCTCACCAGCTTTAGAAACAAACGTTTTATTGCTACATTAAATTGTTCCAAGAATTCCAGTTTATGAAACAGTACCGATCACTTTAGCTAAGCCTATATCTCTACTGTACTTATCAAGAAATGTTTTTCTGATATAGTAAATACTATACATTTTCTTTTAAAAAATAAATACATTTAGAGTGAGCACAAAGGAAAAAACTACCTTTTCATGCTACGTTTACAATTCATTGACGTTTGCAGGGCTATTTGTTCAGGAAGTCAGTGGACTTGTTTTCCAGCTAAGATCTGGGAGCAGTAATAGTCCTCCCTTGTGGAGGCTCAGGTGTTTGTAGGGGGCGCTGCTGGTGGCTTAGAAAAGTTGTCAGAGGCCTTCTATTTGCTGAAGATTTCCTCTGTCTGTGTCCTCCCTCTCTCTGCCACTTACTAATTGTGGGTCCACAGACAAGTTTCTTCAGCTCATTGTATCTTAGTTTCACTGTCTATAAAATTGAACTTATCTGATCCAGTTATTTAACAGAAAAAAAAAAACGAGTTAATATGTAAGAAGTCCTTATCATAGCACTCAATAATATCTGCTATTATTATAATTATCTCTTTATTTCAACTCAGATAGTATATTTCCTCTTTTGGTTTCAACATCTAGTAAGCTCAAGAAAATTTCTGTTGCTTATTTTATTACGCTTATTTTGTTTAAACACTGAGTCTCATCTCAACTGGATTGTAGAATGCATGAACTTGGACGCACACACCTTATGATACCTTTGTGGTTTTAGATCAAGGCCTTTAAAAGTGTTCAAGGGAATGAAAAGATTGAGAATGACTTTGGCTTTCTTAGAATCATAGGAGATACGTCTTTTTTTTTTTTTTTTTTTTGAGATGGAGTCTTGCTCTGTCGCCCAGGCTGGAGTGCAGTGGCATGGTCTTGGCTCACTGCAAGCTCCGCCTCCTGGGTTCACGCCATTCTCCTGCCTCAGCCTCCGGAGTAGCTGGGGCTGCCACCACGCCTGGCTAATTTTTTGTATTTTTAGTAGAGACGGGGTTTCACTGTGTTAGCCAGGATGGTCTTGATCTCCTGACCTCATGATCGGCCCGCCTTGGCCTCCCAAAGTGCTGGAATTACAGGCGTGAGCCACCGCGCCGGGCCGAGATATGGTCTTAATCATAGAAGATAACTAGTTACAAAACAGCCAGTTAAACTGAACTTAAGGTTCAAGTAATGGACAGACAGACCTGGTTCACACCCTACTTCCACCAGTGAATTAGTTCAGTGTCCCAGGAAAATGTGTTTGACGTCACTGAGACTAAAGAGTATCTTTAAAGTGAGGTTAATAATAATTCGCAGGATTATTTGAGTATTATATATAACACTTAAAAAACATATGTAAAGTTCCTGATACTTAATGGCACTCACAAATAGTAGCTCTTATTATCATCATCATGACTCCTAATACTATAATAATATATTTCTCAGTATGACATTTATTTTAATATGACAGTCAGGGTACCAATGTGTAGTACGTTCCACAGGGCATAGATGTGAATGAACACTCAAGATGTAATTTCCTCTCCATTGAGTTCTGTTATGTAAACAGTGCTAATAATAGAGTAGAACAGATTTTGTATTACAAAATAATAGAACGGTAAATGATAGAACAAGGAAAAAGTGCTAAGTACACAGTGAATTCATTAACACATTTTCCAGCCAAATGTGTAGATATACATATATCTACCTATATTTCAGCTATTTTAAGCATTGAGATAGCTACTGAATGAAACAGCACATGAAACGCAATGTATAAAATATACTTCAAACTTCTTGTACAAAATGAAAATAAAACATTTATGCTGTATGTTATATACAGGAAAAGATGTGTTCACTGAATAATCAGTTTTGTTACCTGAGTTGGAGCCACTAATTCCAACTCTGAAGCCGACTCAGAGTTGAGGGCGCTTTTTCCACCACTCAGTTCTGGTTGAGATCTGTGCTCTGAGGACCTATAAGGGATGCATTAAGGAAATTAAATGTACATCTAGAAACAAAATTAAGCTATAAATCCAGTCAAGAAACCGAGTTAATTTGGATCATTGAAAGCCATGATGTCAAAGCTCTCATCAAAATTCTGATGATAAAGATAAGTTTCATGTATTTCTATTATAATGGCCACTTTCAGAATGTAAGAGGCTACAATGTGCTAGGTGTTATTATCTTTGATTAAAAATTCAGTTCAATTATGGGCAAAAAGTCAATAAATGCAGTACCATTTTTGTTACAGAAAATTCTGTTTCATAAAAAAATTATGTTTTTTTTGTTTTTGTTTTTGTTTTTGGTGGGGGGAAGAACTTCCCAACAAGTGTCTCAGGAGAGATTTTATCTTTATACAGAATTTGAAATCTCATGATAAATGGAGATGTGGGAGGGCAGTAGGAGACGGACGCTGGATACTGCCCTTTAGGAAGCTTCAAAAATATGGTACAACTCAGGTGGCCAGATTTTCTCATAAGCTTCCATGCACTGTTCTTAATTATTTGATTATCTGATAGTGGATGATTGAGCAAACCAGAAAAGCTACCTTATAACTGCAAAAATTTAACTATTATTTAATATATTGAATATTCTCATGTATATACACATATACACCTAGTTTTACTAATCAGCACAGTTACACATTCAGAACATTATTACCAATGTTGAATTACAAATCTCTCAAAACACTTATTGACTGAGTTGAATTAATTTTTGACAGTTGAGATGAAATAATTCGAATTGGTAGAAGCCACAGTAATTGGTATTGTTATATAGGGGTTACATGTGATGCCAAGTATTTGGATTGACTTAACTCATATTGGCTATTTCAGTGCCACTCATAAAGTTGATAAATAAATGGCCATTTTCTGGTATCAAAATACCTTACCATAAGAGCTCTTTTGATCCAGTTCTAGATGAGCATGATTTTCTCTCTGCCATTGGATGTCCCTTGGTATTTCGATCGCCATGAAACTTAACATCGTCCCATTTTTCCAGTTGTGTTTGAATGTCTAGTAAGTACAGAGGAAGCGGGTGAGGTTGGGGGAGCATGTGGTGCAGAGAGAAAAAGAGAGCTTAATTAAGATTGAAAAATCTTATCAAAGTGAGCTTCATTCAACCAATGTCCCAAGCCCCAAGATCAACCTTTATCTTTTCAATGTTGCATAAAAATTAAAACTTGTACAGCTAAATAGAAATCTCCTATTAAGATAAATTGCATTGCTTTTACAGTTAATGCAATCAAGTTGTTTGACCTGAATTTATTTCTGAAGCTGTGTACATTCTGAATCTTGTATATGAGCCTGTGCAATCCAGTGTAGAATGTACATCTGGAGCACTATCCTGTCAGTCTCTGGCTAAAGCGGGGTTTGGGGGCATTGCTGGCATGATTCCAGAAAGAAATTCTGTTTAAAGAGATGAGCTTCATTGTTAAAAGGAGGTGGGGATAAATCAGAACACTTTCACAGCTTTTGAATAAAGCATGTAATTTTTCACCAAAGGAGGGAATTTATAATGGGGGAGAGAGAAAAAGGAGGCAATGAGGACAGCCAAGGGAATCCTGGAACCATTTTATCCCTGTGGCTTAGTTCTTATAGATAAAAAAAAATCTGGCTAGATTCTCTCTCATTACAGGTGTGTGGCTGTGAATAAACCACTGAAACAATCTCGGGGTTCAGTTTTTTAGTGTATAAAAAGATTGGGCCAGGTGGCAGGGGCTCACGCCTGTAATACCAGCACATTGGGAGGCAGAGGCAGGTGGATCACCTGAGGTCAGGAGTTCGAGACCAGCCTGACCAACATGGTGAAACCCTTTTTCTACTAAATACAAAAAAAATGAATGGGGTGTGGTGGTGCATGCCTGTAATCCCAGCTACTTGGGAGGTTGAAGCAGGGGAATTCCTTGATCCTGGGAGGCAGAGGTTGCAGTGGGCCCAGATTGCGCCACTGCACTCCAGCCTGGGCAACAAAGCAAAACTCTGTCTGAAAAAAGAGATCACTTTGCAGATGATGTTCTCTAAGGTCTTTTTTCCCCTTCTTTTTAAAAACTCTGGTAAAAAATGCATAACAAATTGACCATTTAAACCATATGTTAGTGTACAATTGAGTAGCATTAGTACATTCACACTGTTGTGTAACCATCACCACTATTCATCTCCAGAATTTCTCATCATTTCAAACTGAAACTCTACTCATTAAACACGAACTTTTCATTACCCCAACAAAAACCTGGTAACTTTTATTCTACTTTCTGTCTGTATGAATTTGACTGTTGTGGGTACCTCGTACAAGTGGAATCCTCCAATCCAGGTTGATTATTCCTTACGCAAAATGCTTGGGACCAGGAGTGTTTCAAATTTGGGATTTTTTTCTTGGTTTTTGGAATATTTGCATATGTCATAATGAGATATCTTGGGGCTGGGACTCAAATTTAAACACGAAATTCAATTATGTTTCATACACATCTTACACACATAGCTTGAAGGTAATTTTATAAAGTATTTTAAATAATCTTATCCATAAAACAAAGTTCTAACTGTGACTTATCACATGAAGTCAGGTGTGGAGTTTTTCACTTACAGATTTTGGAGGATTTCAGATTTTCGAATTAGGGATGCTCAACCTGTATTTGTCCTTTTGTGCCTGGTTTACTTCACCTAGCACAATATCTTCAAGGTTCATCCATGTTGTAGCATGTAAGTTATTCCTTTCCAAGGCGGAATAAGTTCATTGTGTGTATATATTACATTTTGTTTATCCATTCATCTCATGATACATTTCAGTTGTTTTCACCTTTTTACTATTGTGAATAACACTGCTATTCTTTTTTTTTTTTTTTTTTTTTGAGATGGAGTTTTGCTCTTGTTGCCCAGGCTGGAGTGCAGTGGCGCGATCTCGACTCACTGCAACCTCCGCCTCCCGGGTTCAAGCAATTCTCCTGCCTCAGCCTCCCTAGTAGCTGGGATTACAGGAATGTGCCAACATGCCTAGCTAATTTTTCTTTGTATTTTTAGTAGACACAGGGTTTCTCCATGTTGGTCAGGCTGGTCTCGCGCTCCTGACCTCAGGTGATCCACCCGCCTCAGCCTCCCAAAGTGCTGGGATTACAGGCATGGGCCGCTGCGCCTGGCCAACACTGCTATTCTTAAAGGTGCTTGTAAACTAAATACTTTTACAACTTCTTCATAAGACATTTTCTCAGAAGCAGAGAAATAAGTGTTCATCATCTGCATGCTTATTGTGTTATATCATAATATATTAATATATTCTATTTTTTAAGGCAAGGTCTCACTCTGCTGCCCAGGCTGAAGTGCTGTGGTGCAGTCACAGCTCACTGTAGCCTCAATCTCTTGGGCTTAAGCAATCCTCCTGCCTCAGCCTCCCAGGTAGCTGGAACTACAGGCTTATGCCACTATGCCAGGCTAACTTTTAAAATTTTGTAGAGATGGGATCTCACTGTGTTGTCCAAGTTGGTTTCAAACTCCTGGCCTCAAGCAGTCCTCCTGCCTCGGCCTCCCAAAGTGCTGGAATTACAGATATGAGCCACTGCACCCAATTAATATATTAATATATTTTAATCTAAATCTATACATGTTATTAACTTATTTGTAAAACTGAATAAACCTAGATGGTGAGGAAATAGTAGAGATAGTTATAAAATTTCCCTCCAAAGACAGACCTCAAAGAGGGATGGCAGGGGAGAGGAGTTCCTGTGTATGCCACTAATTTGAGCAATGGCATGGTTCTCTTTCCTTTCTTTACAGTCTATCCCTGGAAGAGCTCATCTACACCCATGGTTCCAATATCCATTCATACACAAGCTTCTGACTTACAAATCTCCATTTCCTACTCAGCTCTTTTTCTCCAGTTCTAGACCTATATACTTAACAGCCTAATGGAGGTATCCACAGAGAAGTCCCATAGTTTCCACAAATATAGCAGGTTCAAAGCTGAACTCAATAGTTCACTCCTGCTCCTCTTCCATCTTCTGTCATGGAGCTTGGCACATTCTACATGTCCCCATTGCTCACATATACATATTATCTGTTTCTAAGTCTTGTTTTAATATTTTTTGGAACCTGTCTCTCTCTTTCTCATTATCCCCCTTGTCACTGTTGGATCTCTGTACTGGTCTCATTGCCTCTATTCCTTTCTCTGTAAATCCACCAGAGAAGGATTTTTCTAAAATAGAAACCATTGCTGTCATTCCTCTTAGTAGAACTCTTCAAACATCATCCCTCCTTCCCCAATCTTAAGGGCATGACATCCAAGGATTCCTATGATCTCGCCACAAGTGATTTTCAGACTTTTTCTCTCATTATTCTATCCTTGAGTACTACTGAAATATGTATATTTACTTAAAAATACATCTTGCCGTGTTTATCTATTTGTGTGTGAATCCCTTTCCTTTCTGCACCAGGGATACCCTGCACTGTTCTCCCCATCTTTCTCCTGATCTATCTTGAATCTGGCAAATTCCTACGCACTCCTCAAACCTCAGCTCACATAGTACCTCTTGTAAGACACCTTCTCCCACTGGGTGGGGCAATGGCATGATGAGGAGGCTCATGTAGTAACTGATCTGGGTTTTCTTTCATTGCTACATATAGTTAATATTTTATTATAATCATTTAATCATTTTTCTATCTCCCCACTACACTGTAAATTTGCTAAGGCACAGAGCTTATATTATTTATCTTTGTATTCCTAGCACATAGTATGTGCTGGGAATATGGTAGATACTCAGAGAAATGTCTGCTGAACAAATGAATAAATTAATTCATGACCATTTAACATGTACATATCATAGTAATAAGTGATTTCACATATGTATTCCATTTATTCTTCATAGCCTTATGGATAAACTATGATCTCCTTATGAATGTATATACAAAATTCACCTCCCCACACATATACCTACACACACAGCAGTCAGTCACAGCCAGGGAAGATTCATGGGCCTCTTGGCTTTCTAAAATACCTGTCACTGTTCTTTTTCTTGAGAAAGGAGAGCTTAATATGTCTGGTTCCAGGAGCTAAGAACTAAGCCGTCCTTTCTCAGAGGAGGTGGAATATAGTGGAAAACATATGGACTTTGAAGTTACCTAGAGCTAGGCTCAACTTTCAGCTCTTCCTCTTATAAACTGTGAGATCTTGGGCAAATTGCTTAAATTTTGAAACTTGGTTCCTTGCATGTTTCAAAGAGTTGTGATAATTTAATGAGATAATATATGTAAGTAATGTACTGTGGTTCCTAGGCATTGTAATCCACCATCAAATGGTAGCTGTTATTATTGTATTGCACGTATTCCCAAACACGCTTGTTACATACTGTTTGATCTGGCTGCCCCGGGCCTTGCATTAGAGTTGGTTACTCAGAAGTTCCCTCTTTCTTGTCCTAGACTGAGTGCTCCTAAAGAGCAAGATGCACATTTTAACTTTATTTGTAACTTTAGTGCCTAGCCTGGTGCCCAGCACCTATCAATCACATCATATTTGTGGGTCGAATAAATACATGAATCAACCAGTTATGCAAAGTTGAGCTCCCCAATTGCTATACAAAGTTCAAGCCCAAAAGAAGCTATGTCCTGTCCAGTTTCCACCATGGACTATGTCTTTTCTACTCCTTTGTTCACTGTTCAATGCCATTGGTGGAACTTTCCTCTTGTATCCACACCAGCAGAGCAAGGTTGAGCATCCACAGCCACAAGCGATTGCCTTACCTAGGTCTAAGGATGAAGTCTCCGGGACTCTGAGAGGCTGGCCTCTCTGCTCAGCATCTGTGCTGATGAGGTCAGATCCATCGGCCTTTTTCTTGAGGGATGAAGTTTTTGATGAGGGCTCTGACTTCTTGGCTTTGGTTTGAGTTTGAGAGACTGGTTCACTCAGGTCAAGGAGATCTAAGCCAGTGGTCAGTACTATCAGAAATGGAAGAGGTTAAGATAAGCCCATTTACTACTCTGAAATTATTTTTTTTAAATAGGTTTCAGTTGGGTACAGAAAGATTTTATGTTTGTAGGATAGATTAGAATTAAGTTAGTTCACCATTGATTTATAGAGACAGCTTGTTAGACTGGGATATTTGCTGCATGTTATTCTTATATTTGGCATGGCGCAAACCGGTAAGAAAGGACTTAGACCAGCCTCAGCAATGATGAAGCTTTGAATGAAATTAAAATGATGAAACTGAATCTGAGTTCAGATGCTATTTACTTTATTGCTTTGCTTTATTTTAGATTACAGTTTCCCAGAGAGGAGTCAATCTATCATATTCAGAGATTTAGTGAAGTTTTTGAAAGTCTTTGTATTTTAATTTTAAACAATAAAGTATATGGGGTATAAAGCAATGTTGTTAATCACCTTTTATTTAATTAAGCAGTTCAATCAGAAAATGGCATCCTGTTTGGGTTCACCCAAGAGAGGTATTTTATAATCCATAGTTGATGAATAGGTACACATGTTAATGCCTTTGCTGTTTAGTATGCAAATTTAAATTTCAATGTAACTAACTATAAAACTGTTACACTTTTACTTCTTAGCAGGTTGATTACATTGCATTAAATACTCTAATGAAAGCAGAAATAATAAGTTGTTCAAATGCAAATCAGGCAAATGAGAATTCAAAAAAGAAGTTTTATAACCTTTGCTTCTTCTTTCTTTTACAGTGCACATAACCAGAGTTTGACTAGCTCATTGTGAGAAATAGAAAATTCAAATTCGAGAAGGTCCCTACAGCTCTACCTCTCCACCAGTCCCTGCTGTTTCACTGGCCCTGGCACCACACTGGAGAGACTAGCTTCTGAGCAAGACTGGTGGCTTCCTCGCATGGAATCTCTTCACCCAGCTCACTTAGAAAAGCCACAGAAAGACAAAGAAACTACTTGCATTAACCCTTTGTGGCAGTCTACAACAATGACTGCAGCATTCCTCTGTAATCTCCAAGCTTTTCCTCTAGGTGGGGAATGGATTTTTGCTGATGTCTCAATACTCTTCTGTCTGCTTCTCCCTTGTACTGAAGGCAGGGGCCAGGCTCCACTGAACTCACAACCCGGATTTCTTTAGTAGTGCATGGGCTTCATGAGCTAACCATTCCTATGGGATCTTTAGGATCGTGTGTCAAACTTCACTCGTAATAGTCTCGTTTTCTGATTCCAATTCCAAGTCACAGTGGTTGGATGTTGTTGGTGAAGTGGAAACATCTGGCTCTGTCATGGCTTAGCTGTGTGACTTGAAGTAAGTTTCTTGCCCTCTCTGAGTTTCAGTTTCCTCATTTGAAAATGAGGAATTAATTGTCTTTTAGGGATAAGATGAAGATTAAATGATCTAATGTATGTAAAGTGCCATGCATACAATAGGTACTCAATAAATGTGATTTCTATTCTTTTATAGCCAATTCATGATGTTTTTCTATCCTTTTTGTTGTTGTTGATGATGTTCTCCTATTTTCACTGTTCCTTTTTATTTGAGACAAGAATCAGATCCATATACTGACAGAAAGAGAAAATGCTACTGGGAGTAAAACTGAAGATGAGACAAAGATATGCGTTCTACAGAGGATCCTATGAAGCAAATTTATCATAAAGTGGCCTGAAAGTGTCAGCTTATCTCAACAGAATCTTCCTGAGGCAATGGGAACCACTTCCCAATGCTAAGATGCCCTGAGATACGAGGGATGTTTTGTGACTAGGAAGTACTTGAACGCGGAGGGAAAGAAGTGGCATTCAGAACTAAGCTGCTTGACTTTATGTCTACAATGTAAGCATGGCAGACAGCCAAAACAGGCTAGAATGCCTCACACTTTATATCCACTGAACATTCAAATAGAAATTGCCAGAACACTATTACGCTGGCAAGGTGTCTAGGCCCAATGTGATGTCCTTATAACAGAGGAAAGGAAATTGATGACAGAATATAGAATGCCACATATATCTTTACTAATTGTACAAACAATTAAGAGTTAGTCACTTGCTCCTAGACTTTCAGAAGCAAATTATAAAATTGTCTACTTGAACACAGGAAGTACATTTGTTATGGAGTAACAGCTGGCAAGTACTAATTGAATTCTATATCTTCTTCTCACATTCAGAACAAATGAATTACTAAAAGGGTGAACTGCGAATTCAAACTTGGCTCAGTAAGGTTCTTTCCCCCTCCAAAGTGTCCTGGGCACTTCCTATATTTGTTCTGAGCTCTTTGTCCCTTTGTTTTTTTCCTTGCAAATGTGAAACAAATGCTTGGCACACACAAAAGGCCTAATTGGTTACCCAGCTGCTATGAAGGAGGTGACTTGGAGGTCGAATGGCCAGCTTTGAAGCTGGGAAAGTCCCTGCAGAGTACGTTTTCAAAAGGAGAGAAGAGTGGGTGCAATCTTTCACTCTCTGGAGAAAGACAAATCACATTTTAGCATGTGCGTGTCCTTTAGTTAAGATTTAAAAGGAAGAATCTTATTGCTCCACACAGGCTTCAAAGACAGCTCTGGTATGGAAGGTGGTGTCTGCTCTGCTGATTTTTTAAATCCTATTTTAAAGATTCTTCAGGCACATGAAGGTTTGGGTTTCAGTATCTGTGTGCTTAAATTAAGAGCACCAACCGGTGAGGTGTGCTGGCTCATGTCTGTAATCCCAGTGTTTTGGGAGGCTGAGGGAGGAGGATTGCTTGAAGCCACGAGTTTGAGACCAGCCTAGGCAATATATTCAGTCACTATAAAACAATTAAAAAAATAAAAAAAAACTAACCAGGAGTGATGGCCCTCACCTGTAGTCTCAGCTACTCGGGAGACTAGGTGGGAGGCCTGGGTAAGCTCAGAAGTTTGAGCCAGCCTGGGTGACAGAGTAAGACCCTGTCTCTAAAAAAAAGGAGCACAAAGGATAATCTCCTCTTACAGTGAATGTGAAAAGTGTGTGTGTGTGTGCACCTGTGTGTATGCGTGTGTTAGTGTAGATCTAATAAAATACCTTCTGGGGGTAATCTTATTGTCACATATGCAGACTTTTCTCATGGACCACATGTCAGTCACCACTCACAGCTTTATAGACTGTGGGATCCCATTGCCCAGAGGATGTCATTGACTTCCCTTCCTTTTGCTGTAGCAGGGAGATTTCCCGCTCAGTTGCTTCTAAGCAGGCTATGTTTTGCCAGTCACCCTTGTAGCACTTTGTCCTGTCTTCTTCACTTTAGTTCAGCTAATCTATTTTGGTGTCTTGATGTTCCATGCATATTGCGCATAAAATAAGGCAGAACAGGACAGTGGTTAAGACTACCTGAGTTTGACTGAGTGCAGTGGCTCATGCCTGTAATCCCAGCACTTTGGGAGGTTGAGGCAGGTGGATCATCTGAGGTCGGGAGTTCAAGGCCAGCCTGACCAACATGGAGAAACTCCATATCTACTAAAAATACAAAATTAGCCGGGCGTGTTGGTGCACGCCTGCAATCCCAGCTACTTGGGAGGCTGAGGCAGGAGAATCGCTTGACCCTGGGAGGCAGAGGTTGCGGTGAGCCAAGATTGTGCCATTGCACTCCAGCCTGGGCAACAAGAGCAAAACTCAGTCTCAAAAAAAAAAAAAAAAAAAAAAAAAAAAATCTCTCTGAACCTGAACTTCTTCTGCCCACCTAAAATAAGGATAAAACTACTTTATAAAGTATTGGATGAAGTGCTTATCTAAAGTTCTTGGAACAGCACTATAAGCATAGTCATGATGCAAATAAATATTTATTGCTACTAGAAGACTCTACTGAAAGCATTCATGCTTGACGCAAACTGTAGATATATGAGGTTGGAAATGATTACAAAAACTATTTATTGAAAATGTATAATATGGTAAGTGCTTATGAATGTTTCCTTGTTTAGTCTACATAACATTCCTGTGAAAAAGGTATTCTAATTTTACATATGAAAAACTTGAGGCTTGGCAATATTAAGTAACTTGTCCAAAGTCACACAGCTGGTTTGGTAGAAAAACGTCCCCCTCTAATATGCCCACGTTCTAATCCCCAGAACCTGTAAATATGTTACCTTGACATGTCACATGGCAAAAGGGACTTTGCAGATGTAATTAAGTTAAGGATTTGGAGACTGAAAGATTAATCTGGATGATCCCTGTGGGCCCAATGTAATCACAAGAGTTCTTATAAAATGCAGTTAGGGGGTCAGAGCCAGAGAAGGAGATACGAGGATGGAGACCAATGTGTGAGAGAGAGAGCTGCTGGTTTTGAAGATGGAGCAAGGGTCATAAGCCACCAAATTGTAGGTGCCCTCTAGAAGCTGGAAAAAGCAAGGAAATGAATTCTGTCCTGGAGCCTCTAGAAGTAATGTAGCTCTGTTGACATCTTGATTTTAGGATAATAAATTTGTGTTGTTTTAAGCCATTAGATTTGTGGTAATTGTTACAGTGACAATAGAAAACTAATATAACTGGTACATCAGTGTTCATACCAGGATTCAAATACAGGATACAGGTCTCATCTCTCCACAGCCTGTGTTCTTAAACAGTCCTCTCTAGACTTTATCTTAACCTTAAGGCAGTGTGCTGACTTTATTGATAAGGCTTTGATTAATTTGTTTGTTGAGCTTCTAATTATTTGGCAGTTTGGATAGTCCGAGGAATGATTTAAATAGTTGGCACTCTCAAAAACTTTTGTTTTTCAGATAATCTAATTGAACTGGGCGGAAAAAAATTATAATTTAGAACTTCTATGAGGCAAAAGACATGTTCTTTTAGGTTTCATAGAGAAAAAAAGTCATGGACTGACCTCCAGAAAAGGTAAATATTTCCTAAATTTTTAAAATTTTGTATTGATTTATACAAAAGCTAGATTTCTTAGGAATTAAAAAATATATAATATTTTTGCCTTGAGATATACTCTTAATATTAAAAACACGTTATCAAACAAGAGCCTTTCTTCAGGATAAAAATCTGTATGAATCAGGTGCACTGAATAATGAAGGTGAGAAAAAAAAAATCCCTGGTCTCAGAACAGTATTTTACCAGACCCCCTACGTTGGAGAGTATTATGGATTGAGTGGTCTATGAAGAAGTCCTAATACCCAGTATTCAGAATATTACCTTATTTGGAAATAGGTTCATTCGAGATACAATTAAACATGAGGTCATATTAGAATAGGGTGGGCCCCTACTTTAACTGGACCGATGTCCTTATAAAAAGGGGAAGTTGGGGCCAGGCACGGTGGCTCATGCCTGTAATTCCAGCACTTTGGGAGGCCAAGGTGGGCGGATCATGAGGTCAGGAGATGGAGACCATCCTGGCTAACACGGTGAAACCCTGTCTCTATTAAAAATTCAAAAAATTAGCTGGGCATGGTGGCATGTGCCTGTAGTCCCAGCCACTCAGGAAGCTGAGGCAGGAAAATCGCTTGAACCCAGGAGGCGGAGTTTGCAGTGAGCCGAGATCGTGCCACTGCACTCCAGCCTGAGTGACAGAGCGAGACTCTGCCTGAAAAAAAAAAGGGGGGGAAATTTGGACACAGAGACAGACATGCACACTGGGAGGCACACACACAGAGAAAACACTACATGAATATTGGAGTTATGCTGCCATAAACCAAGGCAGTACCAGGAGTTAGAAGAGAGGCCTGGAATAGATCCTTACTAAGCACATTCATGTGGTGCGTGGCCAAGCTGAAAGCATGATTTTGGGCTTCCAGCCCTAAGAACTGAGATGGTAAATTTCCGTTGTTGAATCAACTCAGTGGGTGGTACTTTGTCACAGCAGCCCTAGGACTAATACAGAGGGCAACATTGTAGGTATTGGGATTGCAAGAAATTATACCTTCTTATGATTTTTTTTCTCCAATATTTCACAGGTCTCTCTTTTATATGTGAGAACAATCAAGCTGAAAAGAAGCTTTCGAATCAAATCTTATATTGCTCTCTTAGGGTGGATCCTTTCTAAGTGACTTAGTTTTCCCATCAGTGAGAATTGGAGCATAAAGAGCAAGTTCACAGTGCATACAATTCTCATGGATTCACCTGCAATTAGACATACAAGGTTCTCTGTATTTTCCTGGGATAGTTCTTGAGTTTTGAAGGGGCCAGCTCCAGTTTCATGGATCAGAGGAATGAATCTCATCTGATAGTATGTGAACTTGTCTAATTTCTTACCTAGAATTTGCCAAGTACCATTTAATTTCTTGATTATTGAAAGTGATAGCTGAATTTAGAAAATGATTACTGTGGTGTGATATAAAAAAGTCAATGCAATTGAAAATGAAAGTGTAGGGAGTACACACTGTTCTCACCTAAAATCTAACAGACATTTTTACACCAGTTAGAGTTTACATGGTGTTAAGCTTTTTCATGGATTGCTTCATTTAATCTTTCCAATGAACTTATGAGATGTAGATCTTACTATTATCAAACAAATGAAGAAACTGAGGCTTAGTTAAGCAACATGCCCCTGGATACAGAGCCGGGGTTGGAATTCATGGAGTTTGAATCCAGAAACTGTAAAATATGACCTCACATAAGAAGCCTCTCTATCTCATGCTAGTTACTCTTCTTGTAATTTTTGGTGTTTTGGAAAAATCACGATTTCCTTCTCCCGTGATTTTATTCACTTAGAAATATAATGAAAATATGCAAGCCAACAGCAAACTGAGGCCAAGATGACAAAATGGAACAAATATAACAAGATAGTATGTGATTATCCTTTCCTTTTTCCATTAAATTCTGCTCTGCACATCCAACATAACCTTTGTTCTTTGATTCTGAACATCATTTTTTCATTCTTATTTGAATGACATGACTTTGAATGTGAATGCTGACCGAATGAAATCAATGCAGAAAGACTGCTTCTACAAGGGAAGTGTAATTTATGCCAGTGGCATCCTGTACTCACTCAATGGATTAATACTTATTGAGTGCCTATTCCTGTATGTGACAGGCACTGAGCAGGGGATGGCTTACTATTTGAGAATGTTTAATTCCAGGAGAACGTTCAAATAGACTGTTGTAACGGGGAGCAAGTAACACACTTACATGACAGAAAATGAAATTGGCCCTGTACTATCCCAAAGCTGCAGGATATTTTGTCATTTAAATCCACTTGAAAAGATTGCCACATTTTTATTTACTGGACTTCTGTTATATAAAATATTTCCAGAAATAATTGGACCATCAGCCAGAACTTGAAAAACCTTACTCTGAAATAGGTGTTTTTGTTTTAAAGATTTTCTAGTGTGATGCAACTTTAGATATAAATATGTAAATATGAAAATACACATGAAAACATATTCATTGCTAATAGTGGTATACTTATGTTCAGCAAAATTCGTTGAGTGAGATACATTGCAATTTCTGTGATTTATTGGTTTACGCTAAATAGTATACATTCTAAAGTTTCATTTGGTTGCAAACATTATTTCCTCACTTAAAATATATTATGGAAAAAATGTGCACTTTACTATAGTTAAAATTAACTCTAGTTGAGGAACAGTTAAAAGTGAAAGAATTACCAGCTGTATTGGATGTTACTGGCCTTGCTATTGCTTCCGATTTGGTTTCACAGAGAAAGTCATCGATGGAGGGACTCAGGAGGGGTCTGCTTTCTTGTTGCTCATTCACCAGCTGAGAACAAATGAACAGAGGTGTCAAAGAGCTTTGTTAAACTGCAGAGTCAGATGAATTAAAATGCAGCCTTGCAACAAAATGAGAATAGCAAGCCTACCAAAAATAAATAAATACATAAATAAATAATGGGATAGGGGCAAGAAAGAAAAAAAATACCAAAAGGTGGGGAATGAGCCTTTTAGCACTGTCAACATATTTTTGATGCAGCCAACTTCAATGTCTAAAGCTCAAGCCTTTCCCCCCACTCCTGAAATAGAGTTATTCTCTAATTTCAGTATATAGAAAATGACACATATTGAATCATAGTTGCTAAGGGCCAATCCCATTCCTCACCTGGACAAAAGCTCCTACTGAGACCTGGAACATTGGCTTCAGACTCAAAGGTGACATGTTCTGGTTAGCACTGCTGAGTCAGTGTTTATGTGGGGAGTGCAAACACACGGACCAGGGTAGGTGGATAAATGCCTGCCTCATCTCCCTCTCTGAAAAAGCTCAGGTCACCTACAAAAACACCCTCTACATTTCCTTGGAATGCTTTTGTATTATATAACAAATATTATTTTGGGAGAGCAGAAAATATTGTTGTATTAACTGTATAGGTATCTAGTAGATGCGTTTGTAAAATCTATTTGTAAAATAGATCTCGGTAGACTCAATCGTGTTTTCCCATTAGCTTATATTCTAATTTCAGCAATCTTTCAGTTTGATTTTTTAGTGGATCTCTAATTATCAGTGGCAGCCACTATTTACTTTCACTTATTCTGCATCTCTTTGAATCCCGTCTTGCTTGAGTATGTTTCTATGGTTAAGAGAGAAAACACACTTTTGATACTCAGGTGGTTCATTCCTAAATTAACTGTTTTTTTTTGTTTGTTTGTTTGTTTTTTTGAGGGAGGGGGTTTATATTTGCCTTTCTTAAAATAGGCATAATCATCTAGTTTTTTGCTTAAGAAAAAAATACACCTCATAATCTTTAGGTTTTTTTTTTTTTTTTTTTTTTTAAATAGGAACAGGATGTCTGTCTGTCACCCAGGCTGGAGTGCAGTGGCATGATCATAACTCACTGCATCCTCAAACTCCTGGACTCAAGCAATCCTCCCATCTCAGTTTCCCAAATAGCTGTGACTACAGGTGTGCACCACTATGCCCAGCTAATTTTTAAAAATTAAAAATTTATTTTTGTAGAGACGAGGTCTCACCATCTTGCCTAGGCTGGTCTTGAACTCCTGGGTTCAAGCGATTCTTCCGTCTCGACCTCCTAAAGTGTTGAGATTATAGGTGTGAGCCACTGTGCCTGGCCAATCTCTAGATTTTTTAAGAACTTGTTACGTTGCATTTTAAGAGGCATAAAATAACAAATGGAGTGCTTTGGAGTATTACCAAATCAAAATATTTTATATTACTCTACTCACTTTCACTACATTGTTTCTTTGGCACAGTGTCAATAGTATCATAGTTTAGAGCTGATGGAAGGTGGCAAGGGACCTGAGTAATGGTAACTATGGAGAGAAAATGCACTTCTTTTATTTCTGAAAGGGCAATATGGAAGCACTTAGTGGTCATTTGGAGACTGGAAGCCAAGAGACACATTTAGTTCTCATAGGCATGCTATTTAAACATGGATAAATCTCATTTAAACATGTGTAAATCTCAGACGTCCATTAGAGTTTAAGATTTCGATATAGAGTTGGTAATTAGATTTTTATACATATTAATTTGTTATTGAGGGATGGGCTTTGAGAACGCTTTTCTTCTTTTAACGTTCAAGTTACAGTGATAGATCTTTCTTCAATTATTGTAAGCTTTGGTATTACTATGTATAAAACCTCGCAGATTTTGCTAGGAATCAAATCCCAGGCCTCTTTTGGTGTTAATCTTTTATTTTAGGATGCTGCTTTGACCCATGAGTGAAACTGTGAGCCCCAGTGTTTTTTATTTTTTCTGAATTTGAACATTCCTGGGTATCACCCATTCTATTTATATTAAAATGTTTTTAAATGTTGAGGGACTGTAAGCTGCCTATGTTTCTGGAATAAAATATATTTGAATTTTTGTAAATGCTATGGTCTATTTGAGTTTAGGAATGATTTGTTATACTTTCTGGCATAAAAGTCAATTTTATTATCTGGAAATGTAGTTGAAAGCACTGGTATAGAATATAATATACTAGAAAATGATGAAATAGCTAAACATACTAGAAAATGATGAAATAGCTAAACATCAGTGATCCTGTGAGCTCATCTAAAAATATGATTAGTGTCCCAGAATCTGTATCTCATTTGTAGTTAGTGCATGTCCAAACTGTACATATGTAACAGTTTCCAAAGGACCCGTACATTGATACATATTTCCTGGTAGGACTTGCTCTTTTAACCATATGTGCTTAATGTAATGAACTCAGCTAGTGTAATCAACACAGTGATGAGGTCCTACCTTCACAAACAATGCCCACTTCCACACTGTGGCCTTCTCATGACTATCAAGTGCGATCTGAATTCCACTGTGTTATATGCATTCACAGAGGATGAAGGTTACCATCAAATATGGCACCACCCTATACTCACAGAAGTTATTGTAATAGGGTTGCATTTACCAAGCAGTGCATTCTGATGACTGGCCTCAGAGTCTAGGTCTTATTTACCCATTGGCTAAAGTGTATAAAGTGCAAAGACTAAACTCAACTGTGACTTTCAAAGTATGAATATGTATGGACAATGTCATAACTATCACTTTGATATTCATTATTTCTTTGAAAAAAGTTTAATTTCATTGACAGATGGCTAAGAATAACTGAGTTCTCTTATTCATAATTTTAAGAAATATCAACTGTTATGTAGATAAGTATGAGCTATATTCCATGGAAAATCCCCTGTACATTTTCTTTACTTTGTATACAATTAAATGCCTTTGTAAAAACAAATAAACAAACAAAAAACAACTAAGAATTTATCCCTACACAGTACACAGTTCTGTGTACATATATGTGTGGAATAGTGAAATAGACCTACATTACCTATAGCTTTGGAAGACCAGGGTGTTAGATTTCTGCAGATATTTTTAGCTACAAATGCATAAAAACTATAGTCTAAATTTGATAAAGTAATTCTAAAAGTAAAATTTTTGTTAACATCTAAATGGAAAGCAAAGGAAAAGGCATAATTCAATGAGAGCCCTGTCCTTTTGGGCCTGTCTGCTTTATCAAAGGTAGTAATTAATTAAGTTATTTTTTGGAGTCTGTCTCTTCATTCAGACTTTAGACAAATTTTCTGGAGAAAGCACACTAGCACTCTCAGATTTACTCAGCGCACAAATAAAGGGATACCAAAAGAGAGGCTGTTCTGAGAGACTTCAGGAAGCCCAGGACAAAGGCGTGGCATCTCCAGTCTTCTGCACCTCTGCCTCAGGAAGTCAGTGTCTCTTCCACACCTACTGTCTTGTTTCTGATCATAGTTCACACCTGGACTGATGGAATTGTTATAACTGCCCAACTTCTACAATTAAGCTACTCCCGTGGCTTTCTTCCACAAATTCAAATCAAAGAAGGAGTAACAAACTACCTTCTGAGTCAGTGTTTTTCAAACTGGAGCACAATTTAGCTATTGAGAAATGCTCAGGCTGAAGTGGGTGGATAATAGCAGGGCTCAAGGGTGAAAGGCCAGATTACAGATAGCATGGAAAGGTAACTGAAACTGAACAGAACATTTTTTGGTTTTAATGGGAGATATGGAAGATAAAACAGGAGATATTTTGAAGATATGGAAATATTTCCTTATAAGCTCTGAAGCCAGAGACTATCTTACTTACGTTTATATCCTCACAACTTCAAATAGAATGTCTACATCTAAAAGGGGTTCAATAAATGGCTATTAAATGAGAAAGTGACTTTGTAGAAACTGAAGATGTAAAAATACCTATCTAAAACCGTCCAATTTTAAATTGCATCTTCAGTTGCAGGAATTTAGGAATGATTATTTTAGTCATAGGAAGTCCCATTTTATTTATATTTGCATAGATAAGAATAGCTTTTTCCATGCTCTCCTCTTCATTTTGAACAAGTTTATATTTCCTTTGGTGACTTGAGAACGAATGAATCTTTTAGATCATAAAATAAAATTTCAAACTGAACTGAATCCCCCAAATATTCCCTTTAAGCTTAATTTCCAAATTGTATAACATTTATTCTTTCTTTATGCGTGAGTAAGATAAGGTTTCTTGACTTTCTTTTAGTTTGAAAATAACTTTATGAACTTCCCTGATTTTGTCTTTTGGGTATGGAGTACGTTGATGTAAGTAAGCCAAAAGTTTCTAATTTAAAAAAAAAAACTGAGGTGAAGTGATTGCAATTTTGGTCTAGTCAGATTATCATAGCTGAGTTGAAATGACCCACTTCATTAGTTGCTAAGGCCTTTGTCTCAGTTTGTTCACATTTTATATTTTCATTTCTTATCCTCCCCTTTCCTCTTCTCAATATTTGGATCAGTTCAAAGAACCTTCTGTAATGGTGACAGATTCTTATTTCTCTTTCAGGATCCCATTCAACTGGCACATTATCTAGGAACCTTCTTTAGCGCCAGCCGGTGAGTGCCTCCTTACAGCACTTGCACGCTCCCATGTCTTGCCCAGTGTCATAATCTTAGTTTTATCTGTCCCTCTCCAACTGCCAAGTAGACTGTGACTTGCTTTAGAGTAGAGATCTCATCCAAGCATTTTTTTTGTATTCCATGGTAGCAGTTTAAATCAATGTTGATTGATTTTATACAGTCTAACTGAATGGCAAATTGTACAAAAGAATTATTACATGGGTGTCCTCAATTTCATACTGGATTTGGCCATTTCACGGAGAGGTCAGTGATCCTCAGAAATGTTTGCCAATTTCTTTGCTGGTTTTAAACCACACATTTGAGCCCATTTCCTCCCAGTCACATCTTTTATAAATGTTTGGGGACCTACTGATACCTAAGGAAACATTTCCAAATACAAAGCTTCTACCAAGACTG